CTAGACTTTCTAGAGCCTGAGAAAGCTTGTTCATCTGCTGTCACCTTACAACAGTTTAGTTTTGTGGGGTTGTAGCAGTATGTGTGCAAGGGCAGCTAGGTGGGTTGGGTAGGCATCTGCCATCAAATTGTTATTAATGAGTTCATATTAATTGTACTGGATGAAAGCTCTTAAATTCCTTCATGATATTTAATTTAGTCTTTTTTCAGGAATGTTTCTTAGAGTTTATCACTTTTCATATCTGTGTGAATTCGTAGCTTTTTTTTCTTTCTGTATACTTTGGATATTCTTATTGCCAAGTGCAAAGGTACATGCTGCATTTCTGAATAATTTAATTAGGGTAAATGAGTAAAGAAGTGGTGGAAAAGCTGATTTCAGCTACTGTGTCAAGTCTTGGGTTTTGTATTTATCTATTTATCAGATCACTTGGAGACTGACCAAACTTTGTTTTAAAGGTGTTGTTATTTGTGTTGAAGTCATGGTGTAGGACTTTTCTGCTTAAAAGCTTTCTCTTAGTTTCCATCATAAATTAATCCACAGGCGGGTTTGGGCATTTTTTTCTCTGGCAGCATTTTGCTTCATTTTCTCTATCTTAAATGTAGTATTCATCTCAAGACTTTTACAACTGCAGCCTAAAAATACAGTAAGGTGGTAAATATAAGACAAGGAAAAGAGTTAAGGAGAATGTGACAAACAGGAGGAGCTAGAAGCCATCGTGCAGCAGAAAAGCCATGACATAGTCACCATCATGGAAATGTGGTGGGATGACTCACATGACTAGAGTGCTGCAATGGATGACTTCAAGCTCTTCAGAAGGGACAGGTGAGGAAGGAGAGGGAGTGGGATGGCTCTGTACATTAGGGAATGTTTTGACTGTATGGAGCTCAAGGATAGTGACAATAAGGTTGAATGCCTGTGGGTAAGAATCAGAGGGAAGGCTAACAAGGCAGACATCCTGGTGGGAGTCCATTATAGACCACCCAACCAGGATGAAGAGGTGGATGAATTATTATATAAGTGACTGGCTGATGTTTCATGATCATCAGCTCTTGTTCTTGTGGGAGACTTTAACCTGCCACATGTCTGCTGGCAACTCAACACAGCAGAGGCTGTCTAGGAGGTTCCTGGAGTGTGTGGAAGATAACACAGCTGGTGAGCGAGCCTGCCAGGGGTGGTGCCCCACTAGACCTTCTGTTTACAAACAGAGAAGGACTAATGGGAGATGTGGTGGTTAGAGCCATCTTGGGCAGAGCGACTGTGAAACGACAGAGTTTTCAATACTCTGTAAGTAAAGAAGGAGTTTAACAAAACCTTAACCTTGGGCTTCTGGAGAGCAGACTTTGGCCTGTTCAGGATGCTGGTTCAGAAAGCCCCTTTGGAGGCAGCCCTTAAAAACAAAGGGACTCAGGAAGGCTGGACATTTTTTAAGAAAGAAGGTGCAGGAGCAGGCTATCCCTATGTGCTGAAAGACAAGCTGGTGGGCAAGAAGACTGGCCTGGCTGAGCAGAAAGCTTTCACAAGAACTCAGGGTAAAAAAAGAGGGTGTAGGATCTTTGGAATAAGAGGCAGGCAATTCAGGATACGTTTAAGGATGCTGTTAGGTAATGCAGAAAGAAAATTAGACAAACAAAAGCTTAATCTGGCCACTTCTGCAAATGATAATAAAAAATGTTTTTATAAATACATTAATAGCAAAAGGAGGGGCAAGGAAAACCTCCATTCTTTATTGGATGTGGGAGGGAATATAGTTGCCAAAGATGAGAAAAATGCTGAGGTACTTAATGCATTCTTTGCCTCAATCTTCAACAGACAGACCTGTTATCCTCAGGGCAATCAGCCCCTTGAGGTGGTAGACAGGGACAGGGAGTAGAACAGACCCCTTGCAATCCATGAGAAGGTAATTAGTGACCTGCTGAGCCACTTAGGTGCTCACAAGTCTATGGGAGTGGATGGGGTCGAAGGGTACTGAGATACTGAGAGAGCTGGTGGAAGAGCTCACCAAGTCACTCTCCATCATCTGTCTTCAGTCCTGGCTAACCAGGGACGTCCTAGATTACTGGAGGTTAGCCTATGTGACACCCATCCACAAGAAGGGCTAGAAGAAGGATCTGAGGAACTACAGGCCTGTCAGCCTGCCCTTGGTGCTCAGCAAGGTTTTGGAACAGATCATCTTGAGTGCCATCACATGGCACATACAGGACAACCAAGGCATCAGACCCAGCCAGCGCAGGTTTAGGAAAGGCCGGTCCTGCATGACCAACCTGATCTCCTTTTATGATCAGGTGACCCGCCTGGTGGATGCAAGGAAGGCTGTGAATGTGGTCTATCTGGACTTCAGCAAAGGCTTTGACACTGTCTCCCATAGCATACTCCTGAAAAAGCTGGCAGCCCACCCCTTGGACAGGGGCACTCTCCGCTGGGTTAGGAACTGGCTGGAGGGCTGGGCCCAGAGAATGGTGTTGATCAAGGGGATCGAGTCTACCATTAGCACATTTGCAGATGACACCAAGTTCGGCATAAGTGCCAATCTACTGGAGGGTAGGAAAGCTCTGCGGAGGGATCTGGACAGGCTGGATCAATGGGCCAAGACCAGTGGCATGAGGTTCAACAAAACCAAGTGCTGAGTCCTACACTTAGGCCACAACAATCCCATGCAGCACTACAGGCTGGGGACAGACTGGCTGGGAAGTGGCCCAGTGGAAAAGGACCTGGGGGTGCTAGTCAACAGCTGCTGAACATGAGCCAGCAGTGTGACCAGGTGGTCAAGAAGACCAATGGCATCCTGGTCTGTATCAGGAACAGTGTGGCCAGCAGGAGCAGGGAAGTGATTCTTGCCCTGTACTCAGCACTGGTGAGGCCACACCTTGAGAGCTGTGTCCAGTTCTGGGCCCCTCAGTTCAGGAAGGACATTGAGGTGCTGGAGCAGGTCCAGAGAAGAGCAACAAAGCAGCTGAAGGGTCTGGAGCACAAGTCCCATTAGAAGCAACCGAGGGAACTGGGATTGTTTAGTCTGGAGAAAAGGAGAATCAGGAGAGACCTTAGCGTTCTCTACAACTCCCTGAAAGGAGGCTGTAGCCATGTGGGGGTTGTCCTCTCCTCCCAGACAACTAGTGATCGGAAAAGAGGACAGTCTCAAGCTGTGCCAGGGGAGGTTTTGTTGGACATCAGGGAGAATTTCTTCACAGAAAGGTGATAAAATGTTGGAATGGGCTTCCCAGAGAGGTGGTGAAGTTATCACCCCTGGTGGTGTTTAAGGAAAGACCGGATGTGGCACTAAGTGCCATGGTCTAGTTGACAAGATGGTGTTTGTTCATAGGTTGGACTCAATGATCTCAGAGGTCTTTTCCAACCTAATTGATTCTCTGTGATTCTGTGTGAGGCTACAATTGTATTATTATTTTTTTTCCCTATAAGAAAGTGTATTAGGGAGGAGGTTCGAGGATATACTGAAGCTTGAAACCACGACACCATTGAAAGCTTAACAAAAACCAAGATTTATTACCAAGAGGGTGGCCAACAAAACGAACAAACCCAAAAGGGAGGAAGGAGGAGAGAAATACACCCCAGTTACCCAGCTGTTGCCCATAAAGGTATCTTACTGACCTAGCATGCCTATAATTACCCATAGCAGAAGCGGCATCCTTGGAGACTCAGTAAGTTCACAAACTGGCAGGCGTCCCCGCCGAAAGGCAACGTTGTCCTTGGTGTGAAGTTAGCTCCCCTCCAAGAAAGCACTATCTGCTTTTATAAAATTAACTAAGTGACCACAACCTCCCAGGTGTGGCCAGCACCGCCCAGCCAGAGGCCCTCAGTCCCACCTCCCGGTTATGTAAGTGCAGCTCTTCTGCGCATGCGTGAGAACTTCGGAAATCCCCTCACGCACACGCAGTATGTTTTGGGGGTCTTTCTTAATTGAGCCTGGGGGCGAGCCTTCCTCACTTCATCATCACTTTCTCCTCCAAATGCCCTTGATGATAACCAATCACAGAAAACCAATTAAAACAGTTTATACAGAAGTTCTCCCTCCAAGGACAACTTTCCCCTTTATCAGTGCTTGTTTTCCCATAATTTGACAGGGAAAGAGCAAGGCTTTCACAGGTGGCAGGGCCAAACACAGGCCAAAAGTATCAGCATAAATTCACCCTGGTACAGAAAGACTCTCTTCCAGGCTGGTCACCCTAGTATTTTTTGCCTGTGCCTCTTCTAGTTCAAATCCGTATCTTGCATGTCACTACATACCATTTTCTGTAGTTCCCCCAAAGGCTGTGTACTCTGTGTTCCTGTTTAATCAACTGAGAATGTAAACTAGCACACGTGCTGGTTTAGATTGAGGTGGGGTAAAAAACATGATGTAACAGGCAGAAAACCACACTGTGATCAGCAAACCAGAGTTGCTTCCCAATTTGGACTGCGTTAGCAAGAAAGAGTCTGATGCTGAGGATGCCATTTCATACATAAGGCTGAAACAATCACTGTTTGGTGACATCAAAAAACAAACATAATCCTGCTTCCTTCCCACTGCTCTGTCTGTACAGTTCTACCCCCTCTGTTCTTAGTCTTCGTCCTTAGTATCAGTCTGAATCACTTGAAAGGCAATTCAAGTGACCAAGCTGGTGTAAAGTTGTTTCATTGCATTGACTTCCAGATTTTTTGCAAGAGCTTACCTGAGGTGGGGGTGACCCTTCCTGCATCAGTAAGCTATTAGGCTGGCTTGCCTAGAGACTTATCAGAAATTGCAGCTTTAGTTTAAACATGATCTTAATGCAAATGCATACAGGTGGTGAAAATAATTTCCTATAAGGTGAGAAAAAGGAATTTGCTGGTAGTCTGTCTCTCACAGACATTTCTGTTACAGTGATTAATGGTAATAGGGAGATTTATCTGCATTTATGACTCCTTTTGCAGAAGGCAAATGGTCGAGTTAGGCAGTTTTACTGCAAAACTATCTGCTAAAAATTGCTCAGTAATTTGGTTTTGTTTATTTTTGTTTTTGTTTTCAGTGAAGGGAGCAATCTTACCCCTGCTCATCATTACCCTGACTTCAGATTTAAGACGTATGCACCTCTTGCCTTCCGCTATTTCAGAGAACTTTTTGGTATCAAGCCTGATGATTATTTGGTAAGAGCTTGCAGTTTTCCTTTGAGTTACAAGTTATTATAAGTATGCTAGCTTCATAGTGACAGAAAAGGGTGCTTAAAGGGTGCCTAAATAAGTAGTAAATTTTGTATGTGAAGGGGTTTACAACTAGTGAATATTTTTAGTGATGTAGAAAAATTCTTTGTCTTTGAGACAATTTACATTAAAAACCTACTTTATCAATTGACTAGAATAACTTTCATATCATTCAGGTAACTTTTTCTAGAGAAGTTACAATCAGTACTTGTGGACTTCTATTAATTCAGTTCTAAGAAATTACTCTTATGTTATCTGTGGTACTTATTAACTTCATTACAAAAGTGATGTCTGCATGTGTTCCTGTCTAGCCTTGAGAAATGTGGATGGCAGACTAAAAATTAAGCATTTATAGTATCTCCTTTTTTCTCTCTATTTTATAATTTGAAGACTTATTCTTTCACAGTATTCAGTGGTTTACATGAGAAAAAAGGTGATGCATTTGCTGCCATTGTAAAAGCAGGCTTTACTTGGTGGAACCACTTTGTACACTGCCTGGAGAAGTATCCACTATTTTACTTCTCCTGTAGTTCTGCTTTTGGAAGGGTAGTGTGAAAGCAAAGAGCTTGTTTTCTAGATGTTTGCCCCATGTCCAATTTGTCTCATGGTGGACGACCCAACAAATCAGAGTCACAATACAAATTAGCACTTTTACATGTCAGAGTTTTATTGTTCATTTTTTTGAATGAGTTTTTAAATCTTTTTGTTCCATTATTGATAACTGCTTCTGTAAAACCAAATTATTTTGAAAGGACTTGAATGAATAAAAAAGAAAAATTGAATAAAGTGTGCTGAAACATTACTTAAAATACTACTAAATATATTACTTTTGTTGTGTTCAAGTGCATTATAACATTTTTGGGTTTTTTTCTTTTATAGACAATAAGCCTTAAAGTAAAACTTAGTTGGTTTTGCTTTTATTTAGGTTGAATATGGATGTCCTATTTTAATTCTTTAGTAGTATGTATGGATTTTGTATTACTAGTCCTCATGACCATAGTTCTACATAAAAACAGATAATTCCTTTGAGTTATAAATGGTAGTAGCAAGGAAATACAGTTGGAGTTTTATAAATCATACAATCATAGAATGGCTTGGGTTAGGAGGGACATAAAGAGCATCTAGTTCCAACTCTCATGCTGTGGGCAGGAATACGTTCCACTAGACCAGACTGATTAAAGCCCCTCCAGCCTGGTCTTGAACGCTTCCAGGGATGGGACATCCTGGGACTTCTCTAGGCCACATGTTCCAGTGCTTCACCGCCCTCACAGTGAAGAATTTCTTCCTTGTGTCTACTCTAAAACTACTCCAGGTGGGGTCTCACCACAGCAGAGTAGAGGGGAAGAATCACATCCCTCTACCTGCTGGTCACACTTCTTTTGATGAAGCCTAGGATGCTGTTAGCTTTCTGGGCTGCATGTGTACACTGCCAAGAGAGCTGCTTTCAATCCATTCTTCTCTCAGCATGTGCTTGTGATCAGGATTTCCACAACCCCACTGCAGGACCTTGCACTTGGCCTCATTGAACTTCATGAGGTTTGCACAGGCCCACTCTCAAGGCTGTCCCAGTTCCTCTGGATGGCATGCCTTCCTTCCAGTGTGTGAGCCACACCACTCAGCTTGGTGGTGTTGGCAAACTTGCTGAGGGTGCACTTGATCCCACTGTCCCTGTGACCAACAAAGATGTTAAACACGACCAGTCCCAAAACCAATCCTTGAGGAATGCCACTTGTCACCAACTGGACAACAAGCCATCGACCAGAACTCTTTGAGTGCAACCAGTTCCTTACCCACTGAGTAGTCCGTCCATCAAATAAATCTATGCCTCTCCACTTTAGAGACAAGGATGTCACGTGTGACAGTAGTGTCATTATTTAATATGTTGTTTATCTATCTCTTTTTATGGACTCGGCAAAAGATGAAGTATGTGGGCTGTGTTGCCAGCTGCTAAAAAGACTTTACTTCCTAGATTAAAGCTGTTATCACCTGCAACTTCTTTTCCATTTAAGGAAACCTTTGCAGTAGCAGAAGTTAAATATTACAGAAAGACTGCTTGCTGTGAAAAAGCGATTTGTGACAGTTGCACAGCAAAAGACATAAGTGGTATGTGGTAAGTGGTAAGTGATAGTCCAACTGTGGCTGAACGGGCAAGGGAAGTAAAATAAGATGAAGAGAAATTACAGCAAGCGTATGTAAGTTTACACAATTAATTTGAAGTGACAAGCCCGAAGATTCACAATTTCACCTTTTCCAAGGAAGTTAAGTGGTGATGCACTATAGAAGTCAGACTGGTTAACAAGGGTACATACATTTGAACAGCTGGTAGAATTAAGTTGTCACTGGAAACCTCATGGAGCACTGGCATTTTGCATCTAAATGTCTTGATCATGAAGTACTCAGCTGTCATGGTCTTGGGGATTTTCTTACTTTTCCATTTTGATTTGGCTTTCATAAGTGTCCAGCCAAAATTAGCTGGTCTCTGCATAGCAGCACTTGATGGGTAGATTTCTGTTTTACAGGAATAAGCACAACTGTAACCTATGCACAGAGCATAGGTTAACAACTTGTGCTTATTTATTGAGCTTTAATGTTGGTTTTAAATGCTTACCTCAATGACAATGACTCATGAAGCTTTATATATTTTGGCAAGAAAAATGCAAGGGTTACAATACAACTGTTGGTTTGCTCTAAGGGTTTGTAGTGTTACAGATTGGTGTGGCTGATCTACCAGTAGAAAACTGTAACTATAGGATTAATAAGAAAGGTCTTTTGTATTAATTGGAACTGAGTGGACTGCAGAAGCAGGGAGAGGAACAGGAAACATTTTTATATCATGGAAAAGTTTCTTAAAAATTGCAAGCATGGGAAAAGCTGTAGTCAGGATAAGAGGATGCATTAAGGCAGTGGTTTGAATCCATAGGAAGCATGCTTCTCTAGTTCAAGTGCTTACAAAAGAGCATATTGATTAGACTTTCTTGTATTACTTCTTGCTGTCACCAGCCACTGAAGTCAATGGCAAAGCTCCAGGATGGATTTAATGAAAGCTTTTTTTAAAAAACAAAACTTTTTTTCTTGTGGAATTGCTCAACTCATCTCAAGCAATGTCCTAACATACCAGATATTCATTATTGAAACAGTTATTCCTTTTGCTTTGAGAAGACCAGAAAATACTGCATTGCTAAGAATAATTCCCTGGTGCTTACACTACTCACAATTCACTTTGTGTAATTTTGTTTCTTGCAAAGACCGAACCCTTAAAATATTGGACCATACAGTAAATCTCCAACTGTGTAAAACTGATGATATATAACAACAACAAAAAAAAAGGTGTGTGAATGAAAGTTTTTAGGTTTAATATAAACAGATTTTTCTATGGTTTTGAGCTTAATGTCTCTTCTCCATTTAGTCTGAATGAAATTTGAATTAATACCTTTTTCCTCCTTAATGTGATTGTAATTTTTAATGTGTCCTGTGGAAGAGAAAGCCTTTCTAAATATCCAAAATAATCGTCCTCCAAACCTTAATTTTTCTTGCTTACTGGTATTGAGGTTTTTTCTGTTTCAAGCAGTTTTCAACCAGAAAACTACATTAGTAGCTATACCAAGATTATTGGTCTAATGGTTTCAAGCCCAATTTCACAGAATAGGATTTGCTTATTTGTCTACAGTGAGAAACCTCTACTCCAGGTGTGTTTGTCTAACATCTTCTTGTAGCTGTCTCCTTCATAAATGACTGTGAAGAGCAAAGAGTTGCAGTGCAATGTCTTCTTAAGGTTTCTGACTCAAGAATTTTCTATGGTGCCAGTGTGGGGATCAACTCCCTCCACCTCAACTACGCGCTTCACCCCAAGGGAATGTTCACCTGGTACAGTGGGACATGAAGAGGAACTGTATGCTCAGCTGCCAGCTGCTCTTCCATGATTGTGCAGTGTGTCCTGGGCAGAGTAGACTTTTACAACTGGCCTTCGAACCTCAGCCAAATTATGTGAACCAGCTTGCTCTACAGTAGTAGTGTTTCTACAGTTGGAGACCAAAGAATAAGCTTCCTGATTCTCTTGTGCCTATTTGAACCTGCAGTTCTTTGTTTTAAACTTGTGTCTGGGTAATGCATGCATTGACAGTGAAAAATAATTTTTGTCTCTTCCAGTACTCAATCTGCAGTGAGCCTTTAATTGAATTATCCAACCCAGGTGCCAGTGGGTCCTTATTTTTTGTAACTAGTGATGACGAGTTCATCATCAAAACAGTTCAACACAAAGAGGCTGAGTTTCTTCAGAAGCTCTTGCCAGGTTATTATATGGTAAGTAATTGAAGACTGTACTTTACCTGTATTTCTTCTGTTTCATGTCACACTTCTTCAGTTTAATTTGTCTTGTAAACTTTCACTGGTTTTATCTGTATTTTTTCTAATATTTTTGATATTTTACGTGCCTTTCAACTTTGTGCCCCAAACACCCAACAGAAAGAATAGATGTAAATCAAGAATATATTTAAGATAAGAATTGCTGTTCTTTTAGCATTCAAGATGAAGCTGAATGTCATCATCTGATTTGATGCCAAACTTTACTTCTAACAAATAAAGGTTTCTAGATTTCTAATTCATTTTTTTTTCTCTGTTTTGTATTTGTCTACCCTCTGCATTTCACTCAGAAACTAGATCGGTCAGTTTCACTTCTGTTCCAAATTATTTCTGATTTCCATTTGTCTAAGTTTTACTTGGCTCCCTGCCAAGTCCCAGACCCAACACCAAAATACCTCCAGCCCAGTGCTAAGGAAAAAAAAACCACGAAAAAAAATCCAAACTAGCCAAACTTATAGGAAAATAAATGTATTTATGTTACATCTATATACAGTTGAAATACCATGCACAACTCCAAGGAAAAGGGAAACGGAAGGGGGAGGGAAAAGGGAACAAAACCAAAATAAAATATACACGATCAATAACCCAAGATCTAGCAACTAAAGAATTAGCAGAATTCTATAAAGAATATCTTACTACTCTCCTTGGGACAACAGAAAATCACGCTGGAAAGACCGCCAGCAACCTCTGCCTCCCAAGGTCAACAAGGCCTCAGCAGGCCTCACTCCCCAACACGGCAGACTCGACAGCAGGGAACCCACACCTCCAGAGCCACCAGAAGGAAAGAGAGCGAAGGTCTCTCCTACTTTCTTCTTTATACTTCTGGCTTATGTAAAAATCTTAGGGAATACCGGGTAATCTGGCCACTTCCTTGGTTACAAACTGGTCACCAAGGAAGGCCTAGACTAAAACTACCACACCATTTCTCAGTATTAAAGCTGTAAATGGGCTGTAAAAGATATATTTTTATCCATAAAAATTTGTTCAAAACTTAATTTTTAAATGGAGCTTTTTGAGGGCTTGTGCTAAGTCAATTGTATTGGTTTTTGTGTGTTAGTCATCTGAAAGGAAAACCATTGATCCAAAAATAAGCAGAACTTAATTTTTATTTTTTTTAACCAAATCCAGTCATATATATGAACAGAGATACTTCTGGGAGGTATGCAGAACTTCGTATTATTAGACCTGTGACTGACTTGCTTTTCTTGCTTTGTTTTCTGAAGTAAATACTTGAGAAATTACCCTCTCATTTGTACTAAAAATGAGGAATGTTTATTGTCACATATATATTGTCGTACATATGTTATAAATGTCATTATTGCACCAAAGTGACATGGATTCACTGTTTGTGTAAAAAAAAGTGTGTACTGACACATCAAAAAGGACAATGATGGCAAGTACTTTTTTGCTGTTTCCAATCATGATAATCACCTCAGCATAAGTTTGAGTTATTACAAGTACATATAAGGCCACTTTTGTTGCTTCTGGGAACTTTATATTCTCACTGCTATCATGTGCAATGGTTTCCAAAGGAAAAAACTTCAATCATTGTGGTTATTTCCTGTGAAAGTTCTTTCTTCTGATAGTTTTATGTTGTGACTTAGTAATCATGTAAGACTTGAAGTAGTTTTTACCCTTCTTGATTTTTCATGCCAGACTGACAGTAGTTGTATTCAGATGGAAGATTTTCTCTCTCACCTCTGTTATTCTCTCTTATTTAGTTTTATTGCCTGTTGTGGAGTTTGGATTATTTCACACTCCTCTGTTCTGTTATGACCTCACACTCCTGCGGAAACAACTCAGTCATTTGCAACCCTGCCTCATGGAGACAGGGTTTCTGTTTTTCAAATTCCAAGTCAAGATAATGAGAACTACATTTGACCCAAACTTCTTCCAGCAGGTAGAATGCAAAGGTTGTTCAGATCAGGATAAATAAATTAAGTCTTCGGGATGCTTTTAGGTTTGGCGTAGTCTACACTTTGATAGTATGTGAGAAAGAGAAACCTGGCATCAATCTAGTTACTGCTCTGCTCTTGGCATATATAAGTTCCTGGGAAAATGGCAGTGTTTATGCTAGCTTTCTGAAATAGAGACCCACAAAGCAGATCAACTAGTCTAAGAAACTATGCTGAATAAAAAGTCATACACAGTTTTCTTGAAGTCTGTTAATGTCCTTTGCTATGAAAAAAACCCTTTCTTAAGCATGGAAGTTTATTGAAAATAGACCTCTCTAACAAGATCTCTTTTGTTTTAGAATCTGAACCAGAATCCAAGGACTCTTCTACCTAAATTTTATGGGCTGTACTGCGTTCAGTCAGGAGGCATTAATATTAGAATTGTTGTCATGAACAATGTTTTGCCACGAGCCTTGAAAATGCATCTCACGTACGACTTGAAAGGCTCCACGTACAAACGGAGAGCATCAAGAAAAGAGAGGGAGAAGTCCAACCCTACATTCAAAGACTTGGATTTCTTGCAAGATATACATGAAGGCTTGTATTTTGACTCTGAAACACACAGTGCACTAATGAAAACACTACAGCGGGACTGTCGAGTGAGTAGAAATTATTGACTATTTAAACTTCTGTGTTTACATCTGCTCTAGATTTACCTTGGCAAAACACACAACAGAACATGGCTCTGTATGTTGTTTACTCCATTTGTTTTCCATGCTATTCAATGAGGGGAAACTGTGGATGTCAGAGCACTGTTGAAGCCTGTATTTTAGTTGAGCTTTTGGCATCTGAGATCATAGAATCGTAGAATGGAATGTCCCTATACTTCTTGAACACCAACAGGCCAGGGGCCATGAGCACTTCCCTGGGGAACTTGTTCCAGTGTTTGACCACCCTCTCACTATAGAACTTCTTCCTAATACCCAATCTGAACTTCCCCAATGCAGCTTTAAGCCGTTCCCTTGCACTCTATCACCAGGCACCAGAGATCAGCACCTCCCTTTCTGACACTCTCATAAGGAAGTTGTAGACAGTAATGAGTCCCCCCACCTAGTCTTCTCTAAGCTGGGCAAATCTAATATCTTCATCTGCTCCTCCCAATTCATGCCCTGTAGTCCTTTTACCATCTTTGTTGCCTCCTTTGGACAGGTATCCTCCTTACACTGTAGAGCCCAAAACTGCACACAGGTGAGGCTGCGCCAGTGCCGAGTGTAGTGGGACAATCACCTCTTTCAAACCAGTTGGATGTACTGTGCTTAATGCACCCCAGGATACAGTTGGCTGATTTGGCCACCAGAGCACATTGTTGACTCATTGAATTTATCATCTAGCACAACCCCAAGTTCCAGAGCTGTCCCCCTATTTCTATGTATGTCCAGGATTGCACTGATCCACCTGTAGAAATAGAGATTAACACAGGAACCAAGTCCAGTAGATATTATGATGATAATGATGATGATGATTTCCACTAATTTGGAGATTTTAATTATTTTTTCCTAAAGCACAATTAGCCCTGTGGTACCATTGTTATGTATGATAATCTGTATGTAGAGCTGCAAGCTCAGTATCCCTTCAGTAAATTGGCCTCTTTGTAAGTTAAGAAGAGCTAGGAATGAGAAGGCAGGCCTAGTGGCAGCAGTCTTATTTCTGGAGCAAAGTAATTTTTTCCTCAGCTGAAAGCCAGTGCTTAATGTTCGCATAACATTTTCAAGGCAGAAGAGGGATACATACCATTGCTCCTTGAGAGGACCTTGGTGAATGGAATCAGTTCCTGTTATGACAGAATTGTTGTAAAATGGGTTTCTTCTCTGTAGCAAAGGTAAGAAAACATAAATTAGGAAAAGGGAGAGTTATCCAGGTTTCTCATTTTCCCAAGGTTCACAGGGTTATGGAGAAGAAAAATTGGCTTTGTCTGAGGGGAATCTTAAGAGTTTCATAATAAAAAATCAGAATGGGTGGGCTGAACTCAAAACAGAAAAGGCATCCCAAATATCAGAGTTTGTTGTTCGCTGCCACCTGTGGTACAAGATGAAAAGCATTGGTTTTGCACATGAATAGAATTTTTTGTTTAATTATCACAGAAGTCTGCAATGCATGGTGATTGGTTTGTAAAGCTGGATGACCTAATGTTCAGCTGCATATCCAGTGTGAGACATTTATCTAACACCACACATTGTTCTTTCTGTGGATTTTTGCAGTGAGTATTTCCTGAGCTCCTGCCATGTGTGATAATGCAGAATGCATCAGTGTGTCACATCTGAGGATATGGATGCCCTTTTGTGCATCCCCCACTTGTCCAAGGTTTCTTACCCAGTCAAAGCCTGGGGGAATCTATTATATAGAAAATAATGAAGGGAATCTAAAAGAGAGAACTGGGCTGAAAAATAAAATAAAAAATCAGTCATTTATTTGTTACATAAAAGGGACTCTTACTGGTTCTGTGAAAGTCTGGGTAAATTCTTCCTACATGTTATTTCAGTGCTGAACTAATATAATTTTTTCAGTGTATAATCTTAGATTAACAACTCTGAAGTTAGTCTAGAGTTCGTCAAGGCCCAGTTAAATTTTAAAATTATTAAAAGAAAAAAAGGAAATTATAGTAACCAGTATCTATACATAAATACACATACATACATTGAAGTATATGGCTGTGTGTATCTGTAGATATACATACACACACTGAAAGTTGTAAGTATGTAAAAAAATTAACTTTTTTTTTCTATTCAAATGAGTTTTACTCTGTGTTATAAAACAAAGGGAGCAGACACTATCTTTCATATAGCTGAATTTGCTCAACAAATGAGGTTGGATCTGACTACCTGCCTTGTACTTCCGCCTTTAGAAACAGTAGAGAGATTCCATCCATTTTGTGAAAGGAACTGTCTTGCCACTGGTTTTTACTGCCCACATGGCATTTGGATGGCTGCTCAGTGTGTGATAACTGATTAGCTTTTCAAGGCTTAAAAACTTGTCATCTCTTTTTACTCTGTGGTGGGTTGACCTTGGCTGGACATCAGGTGCTTACCAAGCCGCTCTATCACTCCCTTTCCCAGCTGGACAGGGGAGAGAGAAAATAAGATGGAAAACAACTCAGAAGTTGAGATAAGGCATTTTGATAAAGCTAAAGCGAAAATTTGTGTCCGCACAAGCAAAGAGAAAAAAAAAATAGGTTTATTCTATACTTCCCATCACCAAGCGATGTTCAGCCAGTTTCTGGGAAGCAGGGCTTCAACACATGTAGCAGTTGCTCTGGAGGGCAAACACTGTAAAGAACAAATGTGTCCTTCTTTCCTTAGCTTTTATATCTGAGCCAATGTCATATGGTATGGAATATTCCTTTGGTTAAACTGGGTCAGCTGGTCTTGTTGTGTCCCCTCCGGGGATCTTGCCCATCTCTAGCCCTTGATGAGGGGGAATGCTGGAGAGATAGCACCGATGCTGTGGCAGTGCTGTTCAGCAGGAGCCAAAACATTGGTGTGTTATCAACAGCTTTCTAGCTACCAGTGCAAAGCACAGCACTGTGAGGGCTCCTATGGGAAAATGAACTCCATTTCAGCCAGACTCAATACAATCTCCACCCTTTATCCCATATGTTGCATTCCAGTTTAAGCTATAAACTGCCCAGAGTGGTTACATTTTTTATTTAAGACTTTTTAAAAGCCTTTTAGTTCATTATATCCTCTAATTAGCGTCCAGAGAAAGAGTCACACACTCTTCTCTAAGAGAAATTCTTTTTAATTTAGTGAGAAAAATAAGATATTTTGGCAAAAGGTTTTTAAAGGCGTAAAATACAACCAAGAAAAAAAGCATTTCACTAAAACATTCAGCACAAAGACCCGTTCCACAGGAAACACCCACTAAAACAATCCATATAACAGCTTTAGTAAAACACAGTTCATTGGTTTTAAGTTAGCCACAAGAGAAGGAAAAGAGTAAAAGAAACCTGATTAAAAGGGGTAAAGAGAGAAGGAGAGAAAGGAAAGGAAAAAATGGTTACCAGCAGGATTTGATGATTCGCATGGTGCTGGCTGGAGAGGGAGAAGAGAGAAAGAGGAGAAGAAGAGGGAGACTGCATGGAGTCTCATGTATTTAGAGAGTTCAGTTTTCCTCCTAGGCAGGATATCCGGTCAGTCCCTTCCAGGCCAGAGTGAGTTGTGCTGTAGCCAGTCACAAGCTGCAGGGGTGTGGTGTGGGCGGGCTACCAGGCAGGTCTGCCTTGACTGACAGCCCGACTGCAGGGCCTGCAGCTCTGCCGTGTTCTCTGTGTGGGCAGCAGGCCTTGCCTTCTGACTCAGCCCTGTGCCCTCAGCACAGGCCTTGTGGGCAGGCCTTACCATGTTCCTGCAGGTCCAGGCTCAGCCCTTCCCTACATGCACACACACACTGACAGTGAGTTGGTTCCAACCCATATCAATAATTCAGTGAGATTCGGATCCAGGATTTCACACCATATCATTTGCATCCTACTCAGTCCTCGCATAAGTTATATATCTTCTAACTTTTCCATTGTACTTATTTCTCAGTACAGAAATCCCTTCTTACCAACTAGAACTTAAACTGTATCCTTAAACCATCTTTATACCCAAAATACAGATTTGTACATTTTCATTAACTACTATCCCCCATCCTATTACATATGGATATTATTTTCTCATTTTGTGGGCTTCCTCCACCTCTCCAGATCCGTGATTTGAGCTCCATTCCTCAGGATGGGTGTTCAGGACGGGAAAAGCAGCACAACACTAGCCTGGTTTGGGTCATTGTTGCCTGCTCCTTGCTCCTCACAAAATTCACTCTGAGTCAGTTTATATCATTCCTGTTACTTTATGTCCTGCAACATACAAATTACTTCACAGATTATTTTTCCCCCAAGGTTAAGTCTTCTTGAGGCACACACCAGGTCACCTCATCCCTCTGCATTATCCACCAAGTACACCCTGGTCCCTGAGCAGAGACAATCCCACGGATGGGTTTGCCTTTTCCCATGGGAGGAGAAACCCATACCAACCTCCTCAGCCACTTCCCCATGTGTAGTACAGGGACCTTATTTCCTCCCACAGTGTGTAGGGGTTTGGTTTGGGCACGACCAGGGTGGTTGGGAGATCTCCTACTATTGACTAGCCAAATGGTTTCAGCTAAATTTGCATCCCAATGCTTCTGTGCCCCATTGCCTAACACTCTTAACATATTCTTCAACAGTCCATTATACCTCTCAGTCTTCCCAGAGGCTTGTGGGTGATAAGGGATATGATAGATCCACTTGATGCCATGTTTCTTTGCCCAAGAACTTATGAGATTATTCCAAAAGTGAGTCCCATTATCTGATTCATTTCTCTCATGTCACCACAAAATGTGCCTTTCAAGGCCTAAGATAGTGTTTTGAGCAGTGGCCTGGTTTAGAGGATATGTTTCCAGCCAGCCAGTTGTTGCCTCCACCATGGTGAGTATGTAGCTCTTGCCTTGGCTTGTTCGTGGTAGTGGTCCAATGTAGTCAATTTGCAAGGCCTCCCCATATTGGAAACCCAGCCACTGCCCTCTGTTCCAGGAAGATTTTACTCACATGGCTTGCTTGATTGCCACACATATTCCACATTCATAA